GGAGTGCTTATTTAGGCCACATATGGCCTAAATAAGGTAAGGGAGGGGGGTTTAGCTTATTTGGGCCTCAGTGTGGCCTAAATAAGGTAAGGGAGGGGGTTTAGCTTATTTAGGCTACAGGTGGCCAAATAAAGTCAAATTGTGCCTTTTCTTTGATAAGAATAGCATTAGCAGTGGACTTTTTAGACAGTGAGTCTCTGATTCAATATTTTTTTTTTAATATGCTATTCAATGAAAATTCCAAATTGATAATATAGTCCTGTAGGTGGACTCCGAGGTCTGCATAGCGAAATACTAGGTTTTAGGGTGTGAACCCCGGAGTCACCGTAGTGAAATAAGGTTTGGTTTAAGTAAGGATTGGTGGACCCGGGGTCAACGTAGTGATAAATAAGCAAGTTTAAGGTGGACCCCGGGGCCCGGGGTCTATCTAGCAAAATACTAGGTTTTAGGACAAGTGGACCCCGGGGTCACCGTAGTGAAATAAGTAGATTTCTTTAAAGATCAGTGGACCCTGGGGTCACCGTAGTGAAATAAGTAGATTGTCTAGGTTTCTTTAAAGATCAGTGGACCCCGGGGTCATCGTAGTGAAATAAGTAGGTTTAATTTTAAAGGGATTGGTGGACACCGGAGTCACCATAGCCATAGAATTAGAAGAATAAGAAGGTTTAATTAAGGATTGGTGAACCCCCGGGACACCGTGATTAAACCTAGTTATATTACTACGGTGACCGCATGGTCCACCTATTTTAAAACCTAACTAGTATTTTGTTAGGTAGACCCTGGGGTCCACCTTAAACTTACCTATTTCACTACGTTGACTCCAGGGTCCACCAATCCTTAAAATTAAACCTAAATCTACGTGTACTTATTTCACTATGTTGACCGCGGGGTCCACCGATCCTTAGTTAAACCTAGATCTACTTATTTCACTACGCTGACTCCGGGGTTCAAATCCTAAAACAGCATTTTGTTAGGTAGACCCCGGGGTCCACCTATCCTTTTGGGGTTAGATAGACCCCGTGGTCCGCCTATCAACTTCCTTGATAATAACTTAAAAACATGCCAGTTGTCATGAATAGTGAAGAAAAATGTGAAAAAAAATGATAATGAGGTAGACTTTAATTTGTCAAAAAAAATGCAAGTGCAAGTGAAGATCATAAGATAATTTTGTTATTTTCGGGTCATCTTTTCACGGTTTATAAAATGTTCCAGTGGGCCTACTACTAGATCTATGTCTCTGAAGAACATTTTACTTGACTTTATCAGCTTTTTTCATGTACTTGAAAGCATAGAATATAATAGTTTCACACAGATGTATGCACAATACCTTGAAAAAGAAAGATAAGGTTATTGTTGTTGTTTTTTAACGGAATGCGTTTTACGATGAGAAAAGTGCTACAAAAAAAGTTTAAAATTTTAAAGAAAGCCCATAATATTAGGAATCCGAAATTACTACCTTGATCTAGTTTGCTTACTCTTTAATTTGTACTGAAAATGAAACACTGTATTTTACTAACAAAGCAAAAAATCTGGGAGTGTATTTTGATTCAAAATTGTCAATGGAACATCATATCAATTATTTATGTACCATTTTATTTTGTGAATTGCGTAGAATTGGTCATATGTCTATGTTTTTGAACGAACACTCGTTGAAAACGCTCGTGTCATCTTTCTTGTTTTCACGCATCGATTATTGCAATGCTTTACTAGCTAACTTACTAAATACCTCTCTTCACAAGTTACAACGTTTTCAAAATCATGCTGCTAGGCTTGTACTAAAGAAAAAGAAGAGGGACCACATTACTCCCATGTTAAGAACGTTGCATTGGCTTCCCGTGTCAGCTAGAATGTCATATAAAATTGCAATATTATGTCATAAATGTGTCAATAACAAAGCTCCCTCATATCTTAGTGATCTCATCCAGATTTATGTTCCATCTAGATCACTAAGATCAGGCGACCAGTATCTTTTACGAGTTCCTAGAAAAGGCGGTAAAAAATTAGCCGAAAGATCGTTCGCCCACCTTGCTCCGTCAGTTTGGAACTCTCTTCCCCAACCCTTGAGACATACAACATCTGAGTCTAAATTTAAAAAATCTTTAAAGACACATTTAATGACATCCTTTTTAAGTCAGTAGATTCATGTTCAGTACAATGTTATGTAAATGTCTATGTATCCATTTATGTATTTTGTGAATTGCAGTGTATATATTATTTTATTCTCATTTCGTGACGATGTGTAATCGTGTGCGTGTGATAAGCAAGTAGGTGTGTGTGTGTGTGTGTGTGTACGTGTGTGTGTGTGTGTGTGTGTGTGTGTGTGTGTGTGTGTGTGTGTGTGTGAGTGTGTGTGTTTGTGTGTGTTTGGCATACATGTGTGCGTGTTATATGTTCGTGAGTGTGTATGCGTGTGTTTGTGTGTGTGTATATGTATATGTGTGTGTGTTTGTGTGTATATGAGTGTGTGTGTGTGAGTGTGTGTGTGTGTCGCGTGCATGAATATTTTTCTTACATGCATTTATGTAAAGCGCCTAGAGCTGTGTTTACACGGGAGTGGGCGCTATAGAAATGATCTTCATTATTATTATTATTATTTAATAACTATGAGCTGTTAAGAAAAAAGAGAATGATATAGGATTTGTCTAAATATGACCATTAGTATTACCATTATAAAGATATTGCCCATTTTGTCCAATTAAATCCTTGCAGGTAAAATCACCATGTACTGCACCTCAATAAGCACAAAAATAATATTTCTGTGACTTTGTATAAAGGTGTTTTGTAGTTGAGTTCTATGTAAAATTCTCAACAAAATAATGTACATTTGGACCGTACAACTGAGATAGACACTCATGCACACAATAACATTCACACATTACACACTTACAAACACACTATTACATTTACTCTCTCTCTCTAGATCTCTCTCTCACCACAACCACACACAAAACAAACACATACTCACACACACACAGACACACAACTCTTACCCTTGGTCCACTTATCATTTAGTATCATCCTCTATTTTGAAATAATCCCCCGCACTAAATAAAAAGATAAGTAGAATCTTGACCTTCCGAATCCATGGTTAGTTCAAGAAACCTACCATATGATGTGGCCTAAATAAGATAAGGGAGGGGGGTTTAGCTTATTTGGGCCTCAGTGTGGCCTAAATAAGGTAAGGGAGGGGGGTTTAGTTTATTTAAGCCACAGTGTGGCCTAAATAAGGTCTCCCTTTTTTTCATCAGTGTATATGTCGTATGTGAAGCATCATGGTGAAATCAAGCGCTCGTCAAAATAATGAAATCAAAGAAACTGCCATTTTTCTGGCCACGGGCAAATTTTTTTTTTTCTTTTTTTAGTCCAAACCCTTTTATGTCCATTTAAAAACATATTCATGTGTGATTTTACTATTTTAAAAAAACGTTAATCAAAGACACAAAAAATGGATACATAAACTTTGGAAGTCACCAGACATTGGCGCCAATATTTCTCACTAATTTTAAGTCTGTCAAATGGCAACTACCACCTCCTTCAATCACAAATATTCCAGCTTCTATTTGTGACAGATGGGTATTTTTAAAAAATCATAAGCAAGACAACTGAACAAGCTTTAAGATGATACCAGTAACTCTATATGCACAAATATTGATGAGCGCCCAATTCCACCATGTCGTGACACGACATATAAATATATACCCTCAGTGTAGTTCCTAAAATTTGTTAGTTCAGAATTTCTCAACTTTTGGGGTTTTTTTTGTCATGTTCTCCTCAGAACCGGATTCTCTATCACCGACAAGAAGATCATGAACCTTTTAAAAAACTATCAGTATTTCAACCATTCAACTAAACACTTTAATGAATAGCACCTCAGTGGAGTAAAAATTGCTTGCTTTTTTTTTTCACCTTTCCAGAAAAATTCAGTGAGATGAACTTCCATCTCTAGAGAATAAAATCAATTTGCAAAAGGGTTGCTGGGCTGAAATACAAGGTAAAATTAAGTGGGTACAGTAGTCTCCACCTAAGATCCCGGTGCTCGGGAGCAAGGAAATGCAGGATCTTAGGCGAACCGGGATCTTAACCGACGAACCCAGGGAAGAATCTATGGTGACCCATGTTAAGGCCCACGATCAATAAAATGGTCTCCCTCCACTCTAAAATGAACTGACGTGACCCCTTGGTGGGTTTATGACGTATGGCGAGCAAAGAGTGGTTAACCTGATGACCTATCCCATTGCATAGTGGGATGAGGCATGCCATTTTCACTTATTATCCTATCATGAGTCTCAAGATCTACGCTTATCCAGTTGCCCCTCCCCTTTACCTGTCGAAAATTTATAGCTTACCATCTTTGACCATGCACCCCCCCCCCCCTCCCCCCCCCCAACTGCCTTTGTCGTTACATCCCATTACGTTGTGAACACACCAATTAAAATTCAGTCTGTCTCCAAATTTGGGAGTAGAGACAACTTCTGCAATGGTTTAGGAAGAGTTCACAGTTCGATGTGATACCGCCTGGAGGGAACGTGTAGGCCCTACCCACCCAGCGAGTGATGTAAGTTTAGGAGGAGAGCTCAGGTGTGAGTGCGATGCGTGAGGAAAACAAACGTGTCGGTCAGTTCACACCCCCGTGTGATCCCGTCTGGGGCAAACATTGTATTGCTTCATCAAGTTTTACAACGTGTATGTGATCACATGCACGACAGCCGCTGATCTTTGACGCAATGGACAGTTTATTGATCTCAACTTTCCACTCTTGGTTGATCGGCTGTCCCGCCCGGGATTTTGTTCTGCTAATTATGATCTGAAATGCGGGATCTTAGCCGAATGTAGACCTTCAGAGTGAATCAGAGTGGGATCTTAGGGGTGACTTTTGTATAGTAAAAATTCTGTTTTCGACAGCGGGATCTTAAGCGAACCGGGATCGTAAGCGGTGGGATCTTAGGCGGAGACTACTGTACTAGTAAAATCTGAAGAACTGTGCAACAGATGCCACTTACTGTTGAAGCTCGCTGCCACTCACAGAGAATGCTCCCGCTGTTCTCACTGCATCTCGTAAGATTTCAGGTCGAAGACCCAACACTGCATATCTGGGATAGTAGCAATCATTGAATATTTGCATGTTGGAGTAAATAGAAACACACTATGCCATCAGCAGAATAACAGTTATTTAGTATAAAGAAAAAGCATGACAGACACACAGAAACAGTTATAGGAAAGAAGATAAGTAAGACCTACCAGTGACACTCCCAAACAACACACAAATCAACTGACTTGGATAATAAGAGAAACAAGTTATGGCAGTAGATATACTACAACTGGCATAATATTATTGTTATTTCTCACAAGGATCTCCTTCTCAAGCAATTTCGCACGCACGCAAGCACGAACACACACACATACACACGCACACAAGCACACACACAGGCACACACATACACGCACACACATGGCGATAGAGAGGGAGAGAGAGGGAGAAATTGAAACAAAGAGATGAGAGAAAAAAATAGAGAAGGTGCTGAAGAATTCAACAACTTAGTTATTGAAAGTATTAAACCCATTCTTCAAAGACCATTCACATTATACAGTCGAACCTGTGTAAGACGGTCACGCATTGTCGAAGAGAAAAGTGGTCGTATAAGATAGGTGGCCATGTATGTATGTATGTATAGTATAAGGTTTTACGGCGCTCGCAACTGCTAAGGTCATATGAGCGCGCTAAACACAAGTTGTTCACCTCTGCG